TACAGTACTTTCTACAGGTTACCTTTTTTACAGGAAATGCATGAAAAACGACCAATAGCTAGTTCAACTCTTTAGGAAGACCATGCACAAGACCAATTTTCAAAATTCCATATAGATTTTATTCTACAAAAGATGTCATTGTGAACTATCATTTTCATCCTAAAACAGGCTAAACCTCATAGCTTTCCAAAATTCAAAAATCCACCTCTTTGTAATGAAGTGCTCCTTACAATGGAATGATCAATTATTAATCAAATCAAATTTGAATTTGGTGGACGTTACTGACCACCCAGAACGAGACCAAACTAAAAATTTAGGATCATTATTTCCACTTTCAATTTTGGACATATGTACATACTGACCACTGTATAAACAACAGCATAATACTAGGGAATCTAAATACTAAGCATATCTCATGTACATCCTACATTTTGACAGAAAATTTCTACGAAATAGTTCATCAAACATCACTGATTTTATCTATTTACTTATTTATTATTTATGTTTTATTTTTTTGGGTGGGGGGATATGGGTTGTTCTTTGGATAATCACAGACTCATATCTATACAAAAGTCTGTACAAGTGTACCTGGTGGTAATTACCTGTGTATGCATTTGCCTGTTGCTACTTATGCCCTTGCAACTCCCAAGAAATAACCAGAGGTAGTTTTCTCATTCAAATGACCCCTCTACACCCCTCCTCAAGAGACAGTCCCTTTAACCCATTAACATCGGTATATTTTGAAGCCGGCTAGAAAATCAGAGTGTGGGGCTGGCCCAGACTTTGCCTGCGCCCTGGCCGCGGCCAGCTGCTGCGTCAAAGCACAAGCCCCGATATAGCGTCACACTGGTGGGACGCCCGGCAATGTTTATTTTTTTGAGTGTCTCACAAGTGGGACACCCGCTGTTAGTGGGTTAACCCACTTATGACAGGTGTCCCACATATGTGACACCTGGAAAAAAATTTAAAAAAATAAAAATCTGCCGGGCTTCCTACCAGTGTGACACTGTATCAGGGCTTGTCCTCCGACACAGCAGTGGGCTGCAGCCGGCACGCGGGCAGAGTCTAGGCCAGCCCCGCGCGCCGATTTTGTAACTGCCCGTAAACTTTTATTTTTGGCTTCAAAATATACTGGTGTTAGTGGGTTAAGGAGGTGAAGTAACCTCTTTGCATTCAGATTGCCTTTCCAGTCCTGACATATATTGAAGGAACTTAAATATTATTCCAAGATAAATATAACTGGAAATTCTCCCCCCCCCAAAAAAAAAAAAATAAATAAAAAAATAATAATAAAAAAAATAATAATAATAACTCGACTTGTTGGATGAAGGTATTCCGCAGTGCAAGGGTGGAGCAAAATCCAGCTGCTTCTTCTTCTTCAATCCCAATGAACACTCATATGTGATATCAAGACTTCTTGCCTCCTCTTTGCAAAGTTATAAGCCCTTTTTCAGTAAATGCATTTTTTCTGTTTTCCTTTTTTTAAGGTCTATAGTTGTCATTTGCTATGCAGTAGCAACATGATAATAGATGGCTTTCATTGAGCATAATCCTCTATCTTTCCTTGTAACTTGCAATACCTAATATATCATTATTAATTATTTTTACATATTTTTTATTATTCAATTTTCTGTAAGACAGCCTACATCTACAAATAATGGCACACAGGAATAGGTGTCCTTAAATGGCTGAAGGCTGGCAAACTGCACCCTCATAGACAAGTGGCAATCCAGCAGGATATTGCAATCGAGCCCCTAGCTGAAGTGCTTTCTGCATTTGTGACAAGATGTCTCCCCATAAACCCCACACCTGACACTCATCAACAAAACAAAACAAAACAAAACAAAAAAAAAAAAAAAAAAAATACTAACCACTGCTGCATCTTGTCTTCTATCCATACTGCCAGGTAGTGTCGCACCTCAATGGGGAACTGTTCACCATATATACCTTGGACCCGACGGAGGTCATCCGGGGGTAGCTGCTGTGCTCTGTTCCACAACGACATTGTGCTCTGAAATATTAACAATCAAAAATTATACTTTGTAAATTTCCGAATGGAAGTTATTGTAAGTATGTCTTTTACTTTGATTTCCAGTTATAACAAAATGCAATCAATGGAAAACATTTGTAATAATTCTTGCAAGTTGACTACCTTTAGTAGTTAAGAAATGTAGCATCTAGATAGGGCTACATGTCTATTGTTAAACTAATACCTGTCATAAAACCTGAAAAAACATTTTACATACAAGATTAATATGATTAAATAAGAGAAAACACAACATACGCGTTTCATGTTGCCCCTAGGATCAGCTGATGTCAACCCCATCCTCTACAACCAGTTGAAGGTAATGCGCTAAATATGTTCTCAGCTATTTATAAAATCAAAAGTGAACACCACAGAAGTGCTCTCAAAATATATTTTCTCAACCTAAACTGACAATACTAGAGAGCAAGTATAAACACGTGTGCCTTGGAGGGTAATTTGTGCTCTTCTGATACTTCAAATTGAAAGAAAGACTGCATTCAGATAGCTTATCTCTGAAGCATTCTTATCACAAGGAATTTTCCTCCTTTTTGACAAAGGGTCTCTCAACAACACATCTTATCTTTCTGCTTGTAATCTCTTTCCACGTATTCAAGCCACTAGTTCTGAGATATTCTCTACAAATTCGAGGAACTGTGACTGAGCAGAAACACTCAAATTAACACAAATATAAATAAAGTGTACAGCAAGTCTATGCTTATTTCTATCTTTTTTTGGTTAGAAGCATATGAAAATATATATCTGAGAAAATTCCATGGCTATAGAAATGCAATTATGTCAAATGAGGAAGGGTGAAAAAAAGAAGGAAAATATGGAGACTGACAGACAGACAGATACACACACACACACCACACACCAACCACCCACCCACCCCACCCACACCCACACCCACACAAATAATAATAATAATCACAAATAATGATGATAATGATGATGATGATAACTTTCTGGCAACTCACAAGAAGTTCGCAGTATAGGTTGACTGCTGCATGATTCCCAGACTTTTTTTTATATACATGAGCTCTAAAAATATGATTCAGCGTGTCAACAGATATGAAATAACATCAATATCTATCTATTAGTCATCATATCAATGCGGTAGTGTATTAGTCCATCTTTCATCTATCTATATATTTATCTATCTATCTGTTCATAAATAATTTTCTCCCCTTTTTTATGTAAAAATAAATAAATAATAAATAAATAAAATAAAATAAAACAAGGGAAGATGACTAGAGAAACAAGTTTTCCTCATACAATCTTTAATAAGAGATAAGTGCCCGTGATAACAAAGAGTAACTCCACGAAACAGTCATGAAGCTGTTCCAAAAAAATGTCAATAGACATTTTTCATAATTCTAGCTTCATTACATTACTCAGGCTACAGAAAAATTAACTTTGACACTCAATACTTATTCTTTGCTTTATCTAATTAATGTAACAGAATCTTTCTTATGAATATTGTGTCACCATATAAAGAGTCAATAATTCAACCAATTATTGGAGATTCAGACACATCAATACTAATCTCTTTATAACATTGAAATAATGAATTTTGCTTTTCAACCTCTTATAGGAACACAATCACACAAAGCAGTTACCATACAATTAAGTAAAATTAAGGTAGATTGATACACTTGTGGAACACTATAATGGAATAGCTACACTATATAAAGACATAACACAAATACATCTCATATATTGTGAATATGTTCATTTACATTCATACCTTTTTTACTTTTCCTGCAATTTGCTGATAGTTTACTTATACCTATATTAAAAATCATCAATGGAAAGAAAACACTATTTTATGACAAGGAACTAAGCACTTCAATTAAATCTAAATTTGTATGTAACTTCATATTTTTTTCATACCTCTTCAACAGGAAGTACATAGTTATTTATCTCTTTCCAACTTCCAATACTAATGAGGAGCAAAATTGGTCATTATCACCATGTTAAAAAAAAAAGTATTTCCATCATCCTTCCCTGCCAAGAGCTTCAATAACATTCCTTTCATTGTTCTACATAGGAAGCATAAGAGCACAAGAAAAATTTATTACAGGTTAAATCTTACTAACGTGGCAACCTCAACTGTTCACTTTTTCTACTTATCTACTTAGTTTGGATACCTTAACACTTTACCACAGGGATGACCCTTTATCATAAAAAATTATGGCAAGCCTGAGCCTAGTATAGGTTGCATTAGTAGGATATACCCTAGGTTTCAATGGTTCTGATTATTTATCATTCCAGCAAGTAGTCTCAAGAATACCAAATACCAATATTATCACTGTTATTATAAATTGCTATACTCATAACAATAAAAGTATATCACAGTTCTTGACTGTCTTTCAAGAAAGTGGCATATCAATGTAACAAAATATTTCAATAAGCATTTCTTCTCCTTTCATGATGGTCAAGTTCCCAAGTTTTTCCGAATCTCGAGACACTCGCTTCCATTGGTTTCATAAAACTTGAAAAGTTGGAAATCATATGTAAGCACTGCAGTTAACTAGGGGGAATATATCAATTTTCAACTTACATATGGACTAAAATACAGACTGTGCTTAGAAAGAGGCATGTACTACCTTTTACCTAAAAACCAGGTATTATCATTTTACCTTGAATTAACAGAAGCATTGAATATCGAACAGACCAGAATTGTGATGGTCTACAAACAGTGTCTAAAATATCAACTATATTCTCAAATCTTCCAATCCCATAAAATGCAAGTTAGCATGAAATTTAATCAAAATACCCTCATTCCAATTAAATATATGGTTATATCACACCCAGAGAGGGGTTGTACAGAGGGAAATATCATGAATGTGGCTGAAGTAAACTTGCCAAGCAGTACCAGACTTATGTGTGAATAATGCAAATGTCTTATTCTTAACCCATTTATGACAGGTATCCCAGATATGAGACACGTGGAAAAAAAAAACATTGCTGGGTGTCCCGCTGGTGTAACATTGGATCGGAGCTTGTGCTGATTCCGGTCCAGCCCTGCGCATTGATTTTGTAGCTGCCCGGAAACTATTACTTTCGGCTTCAAAATATACCATTGCTAGTGGGTTAATGAAAAAGTTAAAAGGAAAAAGCCAATCACTTTCTGATTTCCATTATTATGCCCAACAAGACTGCATTTTTTTATTTGTAGTGAACAAGACTTCAGGCTAAAAAATAACTATGAATGTACTCTTTTCCAGTGAGCTACCTGCCATCCAAACCAAACATGTACACATTAAAAACACTGAGGTAAGATTTTATTTGGTAGTACTGTAATGCATTTAAGTATAACATTGTAAATCCTGCTGGTAACTCTTCAGTGAGGGACTGGCTATAGCAATCATGACATAACAGCCTATGATGTGTAAACTCGCAGTACTTTATACCTAGCTTATACCTAGCCATAATGTCCAGACTGTTGCATAATAATACATCACAAATAAATCAGGCCCCACCATCATAGGATAAAAAAATAAATAAATCCCTTACATTCCATTATTTGAAATAAAATGCACAAGACAACCCACACATTCCATGTCTTCATTTTTTTATCAAATGCTATACAAGCTATACTGCTTAGAGCTTACACTTGCTAAAAGATGAATGTTCCAATAATAAATTAATTCATTCATTCATAAAAAGATGAACTAACAAATTAAGTGTAAAACACATTAGTAAAAGATACAATTGTCTACTGCCTATATTTCCTTTTCCCTTTTCTTAACATTTACAAATTGATTACAATTTAACCTAAATATTTGTTCTCTCTTGTTCAGTCATGGAACATTTGTGAAACATATTTGGTTATATTTTATGCAGCCGCCTACTTATAAAACCCTCAGGTTGATAAGCATGCTATATTCATACTCCAACTATAACTAAACATAACTGGTCATCGATGTGTGAATGTTATGATAGAGGAAGGGATAAATAATTCCAGAAAAAAATAAATGTTACTGGATAGCAACATCATCTTACAAGTATTTATCATTCTGAGAGGGTATAACTTTTGGTAAGAAAAGCATAAAGTTAAGTTCACCTGCACTTTTTTGTTTTAGCAAGAAAATACCAAATGTTTAAAAACAAAAATTGGCAAATGCCTAAATTACATGTAACATGATTATATAAGGTACAGATCCTTCATGTTTAATATGGGAGAACAAATAAACATGTATGGTTAGTATTTTAATTGTGTAAAAATTTGCACAGGAAAAGGGAAGTATAGGTAGCTGACAATTATATCATACTTCTATTTATCAATGTTTTCTTTAAAGTTGTTTCTTTTCTTATAAATTTAGTGGTTTCACTTATCCTTTAGTGAATGTTATCTGTATGTTGTTGTCTATAGCTACAAAAAAATACCATTCAATAAGAAAATTAAGACAGGCATGTCTGTTTCTTTGTATACTTTCTAATGCATTTAATTTCAACTATCAAAATATGAGTGAAAAAGTTTGCTTAATTTTTTTGGTCACTATTAAAATATCAACAGAGCTTACAATGTTATACATGAATGCAATAGTGTTACCAACTAAAATATATACTTCATAGCCTTAGGGTGGCCACAAATTTATTCAAACAGCTGTACAAGGCTGGTTAGAACTACACATATACAAGATTTGTTGTCTCACCTATTCCCTCTCTCGAAGCTAGTCTTGTGGAAAATATGAATACTAATACTTGTCTTTTGGAGGGCAAGGCTAACTTCGGAGGTTTGCCACTACCTGCTGTGTATGCTGGGAGCACCAGTTGTACATGTTACAAAACTAATTAACCCCTTTGATCCGGATAACATAACCATTATGTCATGAAAAATTTGCCTTGAGGGGCAAGTGACGGGAACATGCTGTAATGGGAATTTCTGGCTGAGGGCCAGGGTGACATGAACTTGCTGTGGTGAATATTTCAGCTGAAGGCAGAGATGACAGGAATGACTCGCCACGAGTGCACAAAGCTCTTGGAGGGTGATTAAACTCATTTGGAATTTAGGAAGGGCATTGTACATTATTTCCATCAATAAACTACGGTGAATTATATTTAGTCTGTGCGCCGTAACTGAAAGATGCTATCTCTGTGCTCAGGATATTATTCCTGCCTGCCATGATCAGCAGCACTGGTTGTATTAATGAAAATTGAGAATCATAGAAAATTCTCAAAAATGACACAAATAACAAAATGTTACTTATCATTATCATTACAGCATTGACTTATGGACTATCTCTTGAGAGATGATATTAAGTCTCTGCAAGGAATACAATCTATTACCATCTGGTTAAAACAAATCAAATGACAAATATGTACACTGAAAAATGACAAAAGAGCTAAAGACACTTATGCAGAAAGAGTAAATATTGCAATACGGAGGCTCGGAGTGTTCTTACTGCACACGAGTGTTTACATGCACCTGGCCTACAAGCCTTGCAACCGTCAGAGTGACCCCCTAC